TTTTCTATGGAGGTGGTCAGAAAAGACCAGATTCAGGAGCAACTTATCCCATTAGATCAGCTAGCAATCAGGTATTGGGTTATGTCCCTGATGGTGGCAGGAAAGATATTAGAAATGCAGTGGAAGCTGCAGACAAGGTTGCAAGAAGGTATTTACTATTATAGTTTCACTTCTTTTATCATTCATATAGTTTGCTAGTGTCTACACACAATTTACAATATCTATTTTAAAACACAAATTTTTAATGAAAGATCACAATACTTTAAATTCAACAAAAGCCTTTCACTTGCTTGTAGGAAATTCAAAAACATTTCTGCCCTCATTCAGTAAATACAGTCAACTGCCTTGGATCCAGTCTTTTCATTCAGAAAGTGGAGTAAACAACTCTGAGAAAATTAGACTTATTAGTCCTTATGATATTGCACTTTGAGTGTTGGAGTTTCTAAGAAGCCAAAACAAAATATTCAGTGAAGCTGTAACATGCTTCCATAAAGCTTGAGCTCATGAGCTCTGCTGGCCAATAATTCTTTATATTTAGTTCATCTGGGATACTTTTATAGATAAAAAGACATGGTTAAAAACTTAGGGCTAATTCTAAGCTGAAATAGATCAACTTACAAATGCACAGAATGCAGTCAGATGTTCGTGGTGAACTTAGACTCCAGAGCCATCCTATAAAACGAGATTGCTCTCTTCACTGATTATGAATAGGTTGGCTTCTGAGATAAAGATTACTTAACAAAAATAATAATCTAATTGTGTTCATGTTGGCTTTGAGAACATGGCGTTACTAATTTAGAATTCCACTACCAGCTACTCATTAATTAATTGCAAACTTTTATTAAATTCTGTCATGATCAAAAACAAAAGTCAAAATGGATTCATTTTAAATCATTTGTGAAATTCAACTATTTTTATGGTGTTTTAAAGTAAATGGATTCAACTATTTCTTTACAGTTGGGCCAAGAAAGAAGGTCATGGCAAAGCCCAAATATTGTACTACGTTGCTGAGAACCTTCAAAGTAGGCTAAAGGAATTCGCTGACCTTATTTCTGCCATGACAAACAAAAGTAAAGAAGAATCAACCAATGAAGTAGAAGTTGCTATCCAGCGTTTATTTTACTGGGCTGCTTATTGTGACAAATATGGTGGTCTAGTACAGGTAGGAAATTTAAAAACTTATAAAAATGTCTTTTTTAAAGCAAAAGTGAGTTAATTTTTATAGTATCTGACAAGAAAATGTAATTATAGTTTGGGATTTTATAACCGAAGAAAGTTAGTTTGATTGATACAGAGCTACAAGGCTATAACTTTTAGGAAACATTTATTCTCACTTACATATGGCACAATTTAGTTTTTCAATTGAAGAATATAAAATAACTCGAGCCAGAGAGTTTTTAAACACATTTGTATGTTGTATTAGTTCATCTTATGTAATTAAAAAACTTATTTTATTTGTCTATTGACATTAATAGTAATTATTGCATTTATGATGTATCTTTGCTAAATTTAAAAGTAAGCTATATCATTTACATTTTATAACACCATAAGTATTATAGTTGGAACACTTATTCACATTGATTCACTTAAGTGATTGTTACATGTATTTTTAGTTTAGTTCTGAAAGCCTTGCATATTTTCTGTATTTAATATGACAGGAAACAAGTTTGTACGGACTGACTGTTGAGAAAAATGAATCCGTCGGAGTTATAGGTATCATCTGCCCTGACAACTTTCCTTTCCTGGGATTCATATCAATGGTAGCTCCAGCCATAGCCAGAGGAAATGCTGTGGTGATAGTACCTAGCAACAAATTTCCATTGGCTGCACTTGGATTTCATCAGGTAGGTTCCAGAATGCATGCAATGTTATGCAGAGGTAATTGGATACTCATGTTCCTATTTAACTGATTTAAGCTTATTTGAAAGAAGTCAAAGTTTTTGGAGAAAAAAAGTATATCCAAAAACAAAGTTGTTACCATTTCAGACCTTGCAATTTATAGGGCTGATGATGTAAAGGTCATCTATTTTTAAGGCCCACGGTTACGAGGGTGTCATGTGGCCAGCACAATGACCAACCATCTTTACTTTTACCTAACTAATAACAGGTACTCATTAGAGCTGGATGGACTCAGAGGTGCCAAAAGTAAAAATCCCAGTCTTCACCAGGCTTTTATTTTTTATTTTGGCTTCAAACCCGGAATCCCTGATTTGGAAGCCAAGCACTTTAACACTCAACCAACATGCCTCCAAAAAACAAAAGTACTGTAATAAAAGTTACAGCTCAATGTGGAAAAAATGGTTCACAGTGGAAAGAAGAAACATACAAATATATTTGTGTCTCAAAAGAATATCCTGATAGTTCAAGCATTGAGATTGAAGCACCCAAGTAACAGTGATCCCATCATTGTCATTTTTAATTTGAAGAGCTCTATTATTTTTATGTTCATCCTTTTCAAAATAGTACTTAAAGTTGGGATCTCTCAGATGTGAACATGTATTACAACATTGTTGTTGACAGCATTAGTTTACAACTTGAATTTAAAAAATTCTTGATTGATGTTTTTGATGGGAACGACATGGTCTAAATTGTGCCGATGTGCCAAAAAACAAAATACAATTACATTTTTGTTTTTGAAAATATCAATAATATAAGTAATGAGATAAATAATGGTTTTGGTAGTTATGAAATATAAAACTGTTTTTGGTCAGAATCTTTAATTTCAATAAAATGGCACATACATACAAATGTACTTGTAAAAATTGAACAATGCAGATAACCTTTCAATATGGATCAATGTGCTAATGTATTGTGTGGTAGGTGAAAGGTAAAGCCAAAAGCACTTGGTTTTCAAACTGATGGGTCTTGGGTTTGAATCCAGGTAAAGACTAGGATTTTAAATTTCAGGATTTGTAAAAATCCTCAATGCTAATGAGTACTTAACATTAGTAGGGAAAAGTAGAATTCATTGATCATTGTGCTAATCACACAACAACCTCATTAACCATCGGTCATAGAAACAGATGATTAATACATCACCTGACCTGTAGATCTCACACGTCTGAAAGGGAACTTTGCTTTTACTTTACTATTGTTTTTTCCACTCAATCCTAAAAAATAATTGTGTTCTTTTTCAGATTTTAGAGACATCAGATCTTCCTGGAGGGGTCATAAACATAATCACTGGAGATCAGGATGTCTTGACAAGAACACTTACAGAGCATCATGACGTGAATGCTGTGTGGTATTTTGGCTCAGCTGAGGGCTCAAAGTTTGTGGAGTTTGGCTCAGCTAGTAATGTCAAGGCCACCTGGGTTAATTATGGGGCAGAGGTAGACTTTATTAATAACTGTGATGGGGAGGAACTCTTGTATCATTCTACAACTACCAAATCTATTTGGATGCCAATGGGAGATGTTTTTGCTAACTAAATTTAGTATGATAAAAAATAATTACAATTAAGAGTAAAATCAAATTTATAAATTTTCACACGGAGCCAAATGATTTTAGCTTTGAGTTTAAATCTAATTGACAAATATTTTGTTTGTTCTTAATTCAACTATGTTAAAATTGTTAAAAAGATAAAATCAATAAACCAAATTTAACACAATTAATCACAAATGCAGATAGGCTACATGTTAACTCAATATTTTTATTGTGGTTCAGTGTACTACTTTTTTTTGTACACATGTACACATCATTCAAAACAATGGTCAGACAATAAAGAATTGAATGTCTAGGCCAGGGGTTCTCAACCTGTGGGTCGTGACCCCCTTAGGGGTTGAATGACGATTTGCCAGGGGTCGCCTAAGACCATCGAAAATATGGACAGTTATTGTCTATTCATCTATTGTTGTAGCCTATGTGTGTGTGTGGTGGGGGGTCGCGGCAGAGTTGGGGATTGTAAAAAAGGGGTCGCCGAGCTTAAAAGGTTGAGAACCGCTGGTCTAGGCTGATTTCAACTCCTATTCTAACTTGAAATGAAATTTTTACAATATTTGATAATGAAATAATGCATTGTTACTTAATTAACCATATTAACACAACTGTGATGAATTACCTGTGTTCACTGCTGGAGAGTTTATATCAAGTTGAAGTTTTTGTCAAAGAGCTCTATTGATTGAAATAGCAAGAATCAATCTTTTTTGTCGGCTTTGAGTGGCATTTTTTTAGCATTTTTCATATCAGTGTATTTTATTTCAATAATTTGATTTGCTTTTTAAATTGTAGTGAATATATCTTACTTGAATTATACTGTTAGTGTATTTGTTTGGTTTGTTAGTTATGATATTTCTTATGTAAAATCTCCTACAAAATTATTTTTGGAAAAATGTTTCCTGTTTTTGTCTTCAAATAGTCTCACTGAGCTAGTCATTTAAACATGCATCTGACAGTAGGAAGATCTTATAATCTCAATATAAGCATGTAATCCTAAACTAGTGCATTATATTTTTGTATTCTTTTGTATATGGTATTTAAAAAAAAAACATACAAAAGATTTGTAATCTCATAATCTCGTAAGATTTGTAATGATTGTAATCGTGCCATTTAGTACATCATTTTTCTCTCAATCATATAGAGATTTTTAATTTAAAGCTATTATACTCAGATTTTTGTCTAAATGATACATAGCTGTATTTTAAATTTATCTCAGTTGCAATATACCTCATCACTTGCAGCACTAGTATATAAATGGACATACTACATATTTTATCACATTTTATCTTTATGAAACAGCTTTCTTTTTTGAGCCTTGTATTTTTAAATAATCTGTTTTATGTTGTTGTTTATTTTTAATGTTTTTTTTAATTATTATATTCTATTGATATTAGTATTTAGAAATATTAAATTGTACAAATGAGAAACAGGGGAATAAGATTTTGAATAGTAGATGTATGCAGGCAGATTTTCTTTTTTCGTTCTTTTATTAAGTGAATTTAGAGAAACTTTGAACTTAACCTACTACATGGGACTACAAGCACAAACCTACTACATGGGACTACAAGCACAAACCTACTACATGGGGCTACAAGCACACCTCTACAGCAAAAATGAGTTTTGGAAGCTCTCCTGGTTGGTTGAGCCTGTTGTAAGCCTTAGTATTTACTGGCAGGTCATGAAACATTTATAGTCTTTGTTTTCAGTCTTTGATATCTGCAATAGTAATTTGGTTTTGGGTGTCTGTTATCTCCCCCTGAATGCGCCCGTTGTGACATCTAGTTGGCAGCTAATACTTGTAAACACACACACAATGTGATTCATATACTTAGTGTTATAATGTTTGTTTAGTTCTCTTCTCACAGCTAAGTACACACAGCACATTACCAGCCACAGTTGTTTGTGCTACATTGCCATAGTGCTTTAGAAATGTATATACTTTACACACAAGATTTAAATCTTTATGCTTCTAGCTGACATAAATGTATGCATGTTACTTTGAAAAAAACATTTAAATATGTATGCTTCTAGCTGACATTAATGTGGGCCTGTTACTTTGAAAAGAACAAACTGTTCATGTAATGATTGTAATCGTGCCATTTAGTAAGTAGTAACCTTATCAGGGTATCATGTGGCCAACACAATGACCAATAGCCTTTACTTTCCCCCCACTAATGATAACATTAGTGTTGGGTGGACCCTGAGCCATCCTAAAAATGCCAAAGTGTAAAATGACTGTCTTTGAAATTAGAACCCTGGATACATCAGTTCAGAAGTCATGCACCATACCCCAGAATAGTAACATTTACTACAGATGTATAGTTTAACCTTTTTTAAAATAATATATAATATACATATACTTTATCAATCTGAAAATATTTAGTTCTAAGTTTATTCATGTTAAAATTTAAAAAGACTTACAAATATTTATGTACTCTATACAATTGTTATTGCTACTTTTCCTTGCTCTAATTTCCAAGTGAGCTTTGATTATATTTGCTCAGCTCTCCCAAGATAAAGCTTGTTGCTAGAATGATTAATGTATCATTAATTTGAATAGCTAATACATTTTTCATTATACAAATGAAGTGCGTTGTTTTTCTTTTCTTTTTTGTGAACAAACAATAATTGTGTTTGAAAAAAAAGTGTAAATGAAAGAAATAACAATGCATGGTGGGGAGAGGGGGGGTCCTTGGACAATATAATTGTATCTAACTTTCAGCAGGTTTTTTTTTTTTTTTATCTCTCTCTCTCTGTCTTTAGTCTTCTGTACTTAGGCTTAATATCTTTTCTTATAGTCTTTCCCAGGTTCAAACCGCTCCCATCCCCCGTCATCCTGCGGGAGGTTTGGACTATCTTCAACTCTGAAGGAACATCCGAAACATGAAAAACATTTTACAAACACCTCCATCTCTTTCTATCTTCCACCTTCCCCTGCTCTTTCTCTCTCTCTTAATAATGTAAGTGAAGATAGCTTTTATGTGACTATCCTTTACAAAAACACACTTGCCTATAGTTTTAAAACGAGTGAAGCAACAGACAGCAATGGTCATTTGTTGGGAAAATAAATGTCCACATTTCCCTGCGTAAATATGAAATGTCATGACATCTGTCACTGGGCATAGACTTTACAAAGGAGCTCATTGAAAACGCAACCTTCAACTAAGCCAGTGGTTCCCAAACTTTTTTGTCCCGTAGACACCTTGCCTTGTTTTTTTATTTTCGGAAGACCCCTGCCTAACCTATATTTCTTTTTTTGCTCATTCATCAACTACTTTTTAAAAAAAGTAATTTCTAACTGTAGTGAATCGGAGGGTGAAAAAGTAATTTAAAGCTTCATTTCAATTTAGAGAGATTTATCTTTTTTATTTATAAAATTCAAATTTAAACCAATTACAATATCAATTAATATGTATTACTGAAATCATCAAACAGACTAGAATTTATTTTTTTTTCCATCCGTTGCTACGGATACTATGTTTCATATAGAAATTTGATGTTACACGAAGTTGTCCTTCAAACATAAAATACTAATTAATTCATTAATTGACCTGAAGATTCATTGTAAACGTTTTCACAAAGAGCAGTCTCACGTGTATTTCTTTTCACGTGTCGCTCAAATATTGGGTCAGGGGAAACTGTTTTCACTAACAGAAGTAACTGGCACCTAACTCAGTAAGCTTTGTCAAACAGGAATTCATTAGCCTTGCTGGCTTGCTACCCACCTAGCAGAAGGAAAACTGAATTCAAACCTCTGTTGCCTTGCAGCTAAACCCAAACATGGGAAAGGCTTCGAGCGTCAACCCTGAGGAAAAATAAGGAGCCTGCAGCACACAGCGCTACACCCTATCAGAGCCTGCAACGCAGCTGATCACAAACTGTATATATTGTTTGCAAAGAATTACTTAAGACTCTTTAAATTTTATAGCTTATAGCCTACAACCCTTGAACTGTATTATTGCTTAAAGAAATTCTTTTAATAATATCAGATGTCGATTTAAAACTACTTCAGCGGCTGGTCTATATAATGGTTTCAATATTTGGCTATAAGAGATCTTGAAAGACTATCATAAACCAACATCTTCTCTGTATGATGTTGAAGACCGATTTTGAGGGTCTATTCTAAACTTTATTTTAGAGTGATCGAAAGTTTTTCAAACCTTTATCTTTTTATTTCAGGGTGGCATCGTCTCAAATGATACTACAGCGTAATTGGTTTCATATGGTCATAAACAACAGCTCGTTTGAGAAGGAAGGAATGAAGCCCAACTTTAAAAAAATCAACGCTGTGTAATCTACATTTCTTTTTGTTAAACATTAGTTACATGTAGACAAAATTAAGCTATTTAAATAGGAATTGAAATTAAAAACTACAAGTTTTCATTTGAAGAGCAGGATAAATATTTATAACTAAGGTAGAAATCATATATTAGTTTATAAAATAATTACATTAATGGGATGTGAAAATTAAAGTCACGACCTGCCTAAGTGAAATCAATTATCGTAGACCCCTGTGGACCTCTCAATTTATTTTTTCTCTTTCGTAGACCCCTTGGATGTCTTCGTAGACCCCTGTGGGTCTATATAGACCACTTTGGGAATCACTGAACTAAGCTAAGTACAAGTATGAAATGAATTAGCTGCTATCACATTGGAAGGCCCAGTCACAGATTGATGAATGAACCTCATAAAGTTTTAAACATTGTTTCGTTAGTTCTCAAGCTTTTAATATTTCCATGACACTGCCATTTTCATATTTTTAACCTTATCGCACTTCATTAGACCATGATTAGACTAGACCAGACCATGAGTTCAAGACTGATTCTATGACTCAATCAAAACAAACGTGATTTCTGATCTAGTCTCTACTCAGCACGTTTTACAAAACGAAGCAAGTAGTTATCACATTAACGAATTGGTATTAGCTTAAAAGCAAACTTACTGGGAGAGAAGGGACCCGAAGCTCTTTACTAGGCCTCTATGTTACCGATTCTTGTTAGCAACTTATTCATACTAAAAGTTTTGTTGTTTGTTTTATATGTATTCGTTATAACAAGGAAGACTTTTCACTTGTCTCTAAAGACGCCACATTAGATCTTCTTTGGTCTTGTTCATTGTGGTTTCTGTTCATTCCATCTCTTGCTATGCAAGTTCACAAGCTGCAGTTGACAATATTAATTTGATGTGTAAAGCTATTCTTTTCATTCATTTATAACGCATTCTTACAATACTAAAATGAACTTAGGTCAGTAGAGATTCCCACTTCATTATAGCACGGGCTTAAGGTATAATTAAAATATCCCACTAAGGTATCCCCCATAGCAAATTCTTTTCTTTATTTACCAATACCCTTTGTTCCATACTGCCTCGGCAGTTGACGTCTGCTGGTGAAATTGATAAGTGCAAAATTAAATCATTCTTCACTAGATAGATCTAGCTAGATCTAAGTTTTTTTCTAAGCCCAAATGGGGAGGGCATGTGAAGATGTTTTGGTGTTCTGTTTCATTTGTTATCACTCAAGTTTCCTTCCATAGCAGAAGGGGGGCTGTGAGGGGGGGATACAATATTTAGTAGGATGAAATCAATGGGGCCGTTCTAGCCTTTGAATACAAGGACTAGAACAAGTTGGCGAGAGGAACATGGAGAGATAGCGACAATGGACGAGATGGCAAGACGGAAGGAACGTTAAAAAAAAAAAAAGAGGGAGAAGAAACACAAGTGAGTGCCAGCCTCCAGTCGCGCGAATGTGGAGAGAGAGTCGCAACAGATCAATCGTCTGCTGTAAGCCGCTCTTCCCGCTAATACAGAGAGGGCATATTGAACGAAAGAGTGAGCGAGGGCGGAAGGAACGACAGAGCGTGAACGAAACATTTTTCCACCAATAAAACCATAAGAAAAAGGAGCCAAAAATATTTAACACAAAAAAAAAAAAGAGACCAAAAAGGATTTGCTAAGTGCATTCAGTAACACGTTTCTAGTGACATTTGGAGCAATGGGAAAAGTAAGAGATTAACTAAAGTGCTAATATTCAACAACCATTGGTAAGTTGCCCACTTTATGTTGTACGTGTTTTATATGCAGAATGTCTTTAACCAGATTTAGAACATAATTCGACTTAGTAGGAGATAAAAATGGATACCAATTATTCGCGGCTATCCGCGATGTATTCGCCAGAAATAGAAAGGAAAAAAATTTGCAAGGCATAAAACACGTTCATGTGTCTAGCTCTCAAGGAGAATGCACCGTTCCACCCCCACCATCATCCCCGACTCGCAGTTAGTAGGAGGGTGCTTGTGATCACGTGACGTCACTGGCAGCTAGCTTGCTCTCAGCATGTTACATTGCATTGTTCTGTGTGCATGACTTGGCATGTGTGTGTATATACCCACGTGAATGCGCGCGATATCTGGAGGGAGATACAGAAGAGGAAAACAGTACGAAGAAAAGCGATGCCAAGGCGGTTCATCAGCTTTGGGTTGATTTCGCTTATATATATATATATGTATATCAAATATTTATTAAAGAATTTGGTATTATTACCACGAAACTTTAAAATACGTTTGATAAGTTTCTCATTCAAAACTTTGATTAAAGTAAACTGTTTACTAGAAGATATTTTCTACTAACTTAATGTAACATTAACAGATCTAGATCCTGACGACATTTTAATTTACAACACCTATCTTCTTATTGTAGCCATTACTATACAACATAGACAATTATGTTTTTCGCCTTAAATTAATTTATGTCAAAATCATTCTTGTCACTAAGAAAATGTAGACTATGTTTTTATAGGTTGTTTTTTTCCCTGCTTGGCTCATTAATCTGTTTTCTTATTTCACAAGCATTTAAACATGAGTTCGCATTGTGTTTGTCCTACTTGTTGCCATTTAATGTACATTTAAATAATATTATTTTTCAGGTGTTTTTTTTTTTTAAGTCATGGTAGATTGAATGCACTGAGAATGTTTATTTTACGTCTTTTAAAACTATCTTCCACTTTGTGTGCAGACTGCCTACCATTTAATTAGCAAGATGACAACATGAAATAACCGAGAAGCTTTTCCTCGTAATAATTGTGAAGATCTTTCTCCTTAGCAGGTGAACAACATTTCATTTCCGGCGTGTTCGAGGTCCTGAAGAACCGGTTACAGTTCAAGAGCTCAGAAACTGCAGGACCGCCGGATTGCGAACATTACCGTGTTTGAGAGTTCTTTTAAGTGGTTGCGGGGGTGTTAATCTGGTTCTTCCGGAGTAATATAAAGCGGTGTGCCAAATCTCAACCACTTGGTTGTGGGGCTTGTTAATCTGGTTCTTCTGGAGTAATATTAAGCGGTGTGTCAAATCGCGCTTCTTTGCTGGACCTTCCTTCCTCTGACATATGTTTTTCCGTGAGTCAAAGGGGACTTGTCTGGAAGGTCATTAAATCTGTTTGGCGGCTACCATACACTAAATCATTCAGCAGTTGTCTGCTCTGTTGCCATTCGGCAGTTATCTCAGGCGCACATAATTATATTTGATCGTATATTGTAGAACTATGGTCAGGCTTTTTTCCCTCTATTTCTCGCATCAACTCTAGAAGGG